AAAATTAGAATGATTGCACTGAAATATTAAGTAGTAATGTTCACAATCAGATTAAAAAATAAAGAATTGTCAGCATTATTATAAGGTATTACCTTGGGAACATATAACATTAACCAATTTATTCATACTATAGCATAAATCATACTTAAAATTTGGCTCGTAAATGCCAAACTATAATGAGTTGCTCATTAATGAAAAGTGAAAAGGCAACCATATTCACGAGTGCAGAGGGGATCAAACGACAATTGTAAAATCACATTTATATAATCATATAACTGTGTTTACATTTGGGGCTGGAAGGTAACCACTCATGATTCTTCTTCCCCCGTGATTCATTTTGCATCCAGCTTAATGACACAGCTGGAAATTAGTAGTTATAGTTACCTCCATTTATGTTATTTCGCTTTCAAAAAAAAATGACTGAAAAAGAGCCATTTCTGAGGTTAGGATAGGTCATAACGAGAGGAGGAGTTAGGTGAAAGAAAAAGAGTCTGTATACTTAGTAATCATTGAACTTAAAATATTAGCCATCCTGAGCTTAATTCAGTTGAACACAGGAGAACCAAGTGTTCATTCTGCTGAAGTTATAAGCTTTTGTCTAAATTTGAGTTAGTTATATTGTTCTTGCTATATTATGTTTCAGGAACAAAAGCTGCTCATTTAAAATGTTGCTTCTTGGTAGACAGGTTATTTCACTGAAGAACTGGAAGCATATGACGGAAGCTTTGCCATTAGCTACCTGGCCAGATGTTGGGCACGGCACTTAATGAAGGGTTAGAGGTATTTGCTTCTCCCTTGTATCACTTTTTTACTAGCAATGCAAAATAAATCAATGAGCGGATATCTTCCCTTTTCTGTGTTTGTCGAGGTAGGTCTTCTATAGTATGTGAAGATTCTTTTCATTCTAAATAACAAAACCACACTTAGGCAAACAAACCAATGTAAATATACAAATGACTAATTGCAGGGTATGATCCAATGGAGGGTTGACCAACCAAATGTCAGGAAAGCTAGGAATGGGGGAGCTCGGGGATCTCGGCAGCAGAAATCTTCTTTCCTGAGCTATACCTTCAGCTGGGCTGCACTACAAACTAGCCATTCCTGCATTTCCTTGTTAAAATGCTCCACCATCAGAAGTGAAAGGCTGGCTCAACTTACAGGTCAGGCGTCTGCATCATTCTAACAACTCGACCTAAGAAAGGGGTCTCTGGGGATACAGACAGACCTGCACAGGGCACATGCCTGTGGGTTGTTTTTAGACAAAGTTGAATTATAGTGAAGTAGGAAATCACACTCTCCAGTGTCTGTAAAACTAGCCATTTCAGGCAGGAGACCAAAGAGCTACTGGAACCAGGAGAAGAAAATAATTCTGGCCAACTCCTTGCTTGAAATAGGAATTTTCTTTCTCTGTTTTGCTTTTTAGTGATCAATACAATGAATAAAAATGCAGGAGCATACACTAACTTGTAGAGAATACTCATACATATATATATTCATATATGTAAGTAATTTTAGAAAATTGGAAGAGTATGTGTCTGGAGATAGACAATATATTGATCAAATCCATATTTAATGTTGAAATTAATGATATGTCAATATAGTTACAGGTGAGTCATGTTGTATAGTTTAATAATTTAATTTTTCTGAACTTTAAACTTCTCTCAAGTAAATAATTATCCTTTTAAAACTATGGTCCCCATCCCTGGGGCTGCGGACCGGTACCATCGGAGTCCCGTTAAGAACCAAAGTTCCTCCTCCTCCCCAGGTCCACCTCCCCCACCCATAGA